AAAACTGTTTGCAAGCTGACCACGTGTTGCGTCTGCCCATGTCTGCTGGATCTGACCCCCAATTTTGCAAAAGTGAATAAGCAAGCCTCTCTCTCTCTCTCTCTCTCTCTCTCTCTCTCAAATGAGTACAGGTTGGATTTCTTGAGAGTTTGTCTGGAATCCCATCAGGGTAAGGTCCAAATCAGGGATTTATACTAATCAGCTAATGCCTAAGAGGAGCCGAAGTAGTGTCTGGAATACCAACAGCATTTCTTACAAAATACTATTTTCAGATTTTCAAATGATGTGTAAGAAACATTGTTGTATAGTTCAGAAAGTATGCCTTGAAATAGTTGATAAGATTTTTGTGTCTTAAACGAAAAAACTGGTAGGACATCACTACCTCTATCTCAAATACTTAAACTCAGGCATTCAGGAGAAAGAGGAAATGCTAGCGGAAAAAGCCAAAAAGTGTTCTGTTGAAGGCTATGGAGCTTGGCCCAGACAAAATCTACATCCACTGCCATCAAGTCAACTCTGATGTATAGCAACCCTATAGGACAGAACTTCCTAGGGGTTCTGAGACTGTAAATCCTGAGGAGAGCAGATAGCCTCATCGTTCTTCATCTGACCAGGTAGTGGGCTTGAACTACCGATCTTGTCATTTGTAGCCCAGTAAGTAACCCATTGCTCTACCAGGGCCCCTTGAGTTAAGCCCAGATCCTCCTATCTTGTAATTAGCAACAAAAGAGAACGGTATAGGCACACTTCTCTTGACCCAGATTAAGTAAACTCTAAAATAGACATGTGACTTCCTAGAAAGTATGGGAAATTGAGTTTGTGGTTTTTTTTAAAAGTTGTTTACTGTTCTCCTGTAGCTTATTGTTACTGCGTTGCAGAGTCGCTATGAGTTGGAACCCACTCAACTAACTACACTTAACAGTAACAGTTTCATTATGGCCCTGTGGAGTAAGCTTCCTGTGTATTTAATGAATGAATTAATGAACAAATGAAAAACATAGTTATTGATTTGTTTTTTAGCTTCATTGCGTTCATCCTTTTCTTGTCAACAACTTTTAAAAGTGGGTGATATTTTAGCAGAGAGGTGACTTTTAACCATAACCATATTTCAGTCCCAGGGGCTTCCTACTTCTTTCCACAAAGCCAAAATGGATTGAAGAAAGCGCCACTATCCTGAACAAGCTTAGCAGTAAATCTTTTACCCAGTGGAAGTGCCGTGGCTCATCTGATTCTCAACATAGCAGCCCTGTATGTCTTTTAGTTGATCTGTTTATAGAAAGTTAAATAATAATTTTCTATGGATCTTGCTAATTTTGGCCTAGATATACTTGAAACTGGTATGATGCTGTAGGATAAGCACTGAACTGCCAACCACAGGTTGACGGTTCAAACCTACTAGCTGTGCTCCCTAGAAACCCTATACAGGATTTCTATGAGTTGGAACCGACTCACTTAACAACATTTGAAATGAGGAGCTCCTCTGGTGCTGCAGTGGTTAAAGTGCTTGGCTGCCGACCAGTGGAAAGCGGTTTAAACCCACCAGCCGCTCCTGAAGAGAGACTCGTGGCAGTGTGCTTCTGTAAACATTTCAGTCTTGGAAACCCTCTGGGGTGGTTCTAATCTTGTGCTGAATTGAAATTGACTCAGTGACAATAAGTTTATACTTGAAATTTAATGACAGTCAACTAGGGGAATTCAGATTTTCTGTGATTCTTAAGGACATGAGAGTAGAAGTTAAAGACAATCACCTTAACACTCCCACTTTGTTGTTGTTTGTTGTTAAGTGCTGTCGAGGCGGTTCTGACTCATAATGACCCTGTATAGGGTTTCAGAGGAGCAGCTGGTTGGTTTGAACTATTGCACTTGTGGTTCGCAGTCTGTTGCTGATGTTAGTGTCACACCAGTCTTCCAACATTACCACTACCCAGTCCAAAAAAAAAAAAAAAGTTTCGTTTATTTTTTTTTTTAATGACGGTAACCACTTCAGAGTCCTGGTGTGATGTTGTGGGATAAAGCACTGGAATGCAAGATCAGTCTGAGTCACAAGGTTGGTGTCTCAAACTCAACAGCCGCTCCTAGGAGACCCTATATAGGGTCACTATGAATCAAAACCAACTCGCTGGCACTTAAAAACAATACCAAACAATTCTTTAGCTGACATGCCTCTTAGTTCATTCTGGTGGTGGTGGTGGTGTGCCATGGAGTTGGTTCCGACTCATAGTGACCCTGCATAGGGTTTCCGAGGCTGTAAACCTTTATGGGAGCAGAAAGCCTCATATTTCTCCCACGGAACCACTGGTAGTTTCAAACTGCTGACCTTGAGGTTAGCAGCCCAATTCATAACCACTATGCTACCAGAGCTTCTTTAAAGGAGCTCTGGTAGCGTAGTGGTTACGACTCGGGCTGTGAACCGCAAGGTCAGCAGTTTGAAACTACCAGTGGTTCCGTGGGAGAAATATGAGGCTTTCTGCTCCCATAAAGGTTTACAGCCTCGGAAACCTGTACAGGGTCGCTGTGGGTCGGTTCCGACTCCACGGCACATAACAACAACAACAACAACAATGCTACCAGAGCTTCTTTAGTTCATTCTAGAACTTAAAAAAAAAAAAAAAAGAGGATTGTGAGGAATGTAAGCAATGCTGTTCAACAACTTATGTAGAAGTAATTGAATGGGAACCTGAATTGTGTAAGCCTTCAAAATAAAATCTTATTTAAAAAACAAAAACAAAAGCCATGAGTTAATGGTGGCCCCCAAAATAAAGACAAGGACATTAATGATTATTGTTATTAATGTTAAATGTCGGGTATCGGCAAACCCCAGACCTAGATTGGAAGATCGTCAGAGACCAGAAGTTCTTGACAAAGAAAAACAATATTATCATCATTATTGTTGGCTGTACCAGAAAAGGGATTTCTATTCTTGACTGATTTAAGTTGGAAGGTGAATGTGGAAAACAATGTGAGGGGAAAATCTCAGGCTCCTCTTCAGTTCATGGACAGCCGAGTGAGAATATGTCAGCTTTCTGACAACTATGCAGAACATCTAGGATGAACCGTCATGTTTTTCTAGTCTCATAAATAAATGCACAATTATCTACTTTCCTTGGAAGAATTTAAAAATGAGTCCCCTGAGAGTCATCCTAAGATGGCGTTTTCATATATATTCTAATCCTTCAAAATTTAACAAATAAATATTATACCATAGTTCAAGTTGCCATTGTACTATGTCAATAATAAGGGGTCCCGGTGGCCCTGTATGTAGGATAAGCACTGTACTGCAAGGTTGGTAGTTTAAACCCACCAGCCACTCGTGAGAAGAAAGATGACGTTTCCTGCTCCTATAAAGATTTGTTGTTGTTGTTGTTGTTGTTGTTATGTGCCGTGGAGTCGGTTCCGACTCATAGCGACCCTGTACAGGGTTTCCAAGGATGTAAATCTTTACGGGAGCAGAAAGCCTCATCTTTCTCCCGCAGAACAGCTGGTAGTTTCGAACTGCTGACCCTGAGGTTCACAGCCCGATTTGTAACCACTACGCTACCAGAGCAGCCTTGAAAATCCTATCCAGGGTATCTTTGAGTCAGTATCGACTAAGTGACATTAGTCTTACTAATGCCAAATTGGAGTCCTGATGTAGCACTGTAGGATAAGCACTAGACTGCTAACTGCAAGGTTGTCAAGTCAACTCACCAGCTTCCAACTTTTAAACCCTAAACAGGATCACTATGAGTCAGAACTGATTGGATGGCACGTAACAGCAATAATGCCACCAAATAACAAAATTACGTAGTCTAGATAACTGGTGAGGGGAAATGGTGCATTTAAAAACTGGCAGCCATAAAGAACATAGTTTTCTTGTTTAACCAGAAGTTGGAGCTATCACGTATAAAGCTTCTTAGAAGTTGAATGGGAGGTGCTGCTGACCACTAGCTTTTCGAAGCGACTCACTTTCTAACTAAGGAGTATGGCCCTGATGCAGTCAGTCCCAGAGAGCAGGACAGTGTAGCCAGTGGCCTTGAGTATGGCCACCTTATTGATGGTGCACCTGGTCAATGGCAGCCATGTCTCTGGGGCTCTGTAACCTCAAAAGGGCCATTAAGGGGATCTGTTGTTTTTCAGCTTTTGTTCTGGAACCATATTCCAAAGAAGTTTCTTGCCTCCAGAATTGTTGCCTTAAACCTGACAGAGAATCACATGTTTTCAAGAAGATTTATTAATGCGAAAGGACCTTTTGGTTTTACAGTTGTTGTTTTTGTTGTTAGGTGCCATCAAGTCGATACCGACTCATAGTGACCCTATCTATGCACAATAGAGTGAAACACTGTCCGCTCCTGGGCCAACCTCACAAGCGTTGCTAGGCCTGAGCCCCTCGCTGCCACCAATGTGCCAGTCCGTCTCGTTTGAGGTGGGGGGGGAGGGTCTTCTTCTTTTTCTCCATTGTGAACACACAAATGGAACTATTGTTGTTGTTGTTGTTGTTAATGGAACTATTACTTGCTATGAATTATTTCAGTGGTACAACGGTGTCATAATTACCAGTTTAAAAAAACATTTGAGCAATGTCTTGAGATTATTTAAGTCCACATTTAACTTAAAAATTTAAACTGGAACTAACATTGATTGAAAGTTTTCTGGACAAGCAGTAAATAAAAGGGATCTGAAAAATCTAGAAGGTTAATAGTAACCACCACCAAAGGAGTGTTTAAAGGATTATTAGAAGGACAATCTCTATTCAAAAGAATTCATCATTATTAATTTTCCTTTCATTTACTTATGAGTTCATTTCTCATTGTATTGTTGTTACGTGCCATAAAGTTGTTTCTGACTCGTAGCAGCCCTGTACAGGGTTTCCTAGGAGCAACTGGTGGGTTTGAACCACCAACCTTGTGGTTCGCAGCCCAGTGCTCATCCTTCAGTGCCACACCAGAATTCCAATTTCTCATGATTCTCCTTCATAAAAGGCATGGTGTCTAACCCTGGCTTTTGTTTCCTCTTTGTTCCAGAAGTCTCCCCAGCTCTCTGAGGATGATATCCGGCTAAAAAACAACAGAGACAACGGTAGTGCCAATCTCCTGGAGCCTACTGCCAGCTCTCTTTCCTCAGATCCCCAAAAAATGGAAATTGAGGTCTCGGTTTCAGAATGTAAAAGTGTTCCTGGAATCACATTGACCTCACATTCTACAGACCATTCCTCCTCTTTCTACTCATCCCCTCACAATGGCCTTCTCAGTGATCATCAGGAATCCCTGGATACCGATGTGGCCAGAGAGATCCAGTATCTAGACGAGGTGCTAGAGGCCAACTGCTGTGATTCTATTGTGGACGGAACGTACAACGGAACATCCTCCCCGGAGCCTGGCACAGCCATCTTGGTGGGCAGCCTGAACCCACTTGCCCACACAGCCATTCTGCCAGAGCCCTCTGAGAGAACAGCTGGTAGGCAGGTTCCTCCTCACATTTTGCTCAGTAAAAGCAACTCCGATACCATGGCAGAGGGTGAAAGAGCCAATGGCCATCCTTCTGATCAGTCCCGAGATGTGCTGGGCGACAGCCTACAGGCACCTGTGAGCCCGAGCTCCTCAACCAGCTCCCGGTGTTCTTCCCGAGATGGGGAGTTGACGCTCACAACACTGAAGAAGGAGGCCAAGTTTGAGCTGCGGGCCTTCCATGAAGACAAGAAGCCCTCCAAGCTCTTTGAAGATGATGAGAATGAGAAAGGGCAATACTGTGTCAGGAAAGTCAGACCCTCAGAAGAGATGCTGGAGCTGGAAAAGGAAAGGAGGGAACTCATTCGGAGCCAGGCTATGAAAAAGAATCCTGGTATTGCAGCCAAATGGTGGAATCCCCCCCAGGAAAAAACCATTGAGGAGCAGCTGGATGAAGAGCATCTGGAATCACACAAAAGGTACAAGGAACGCAAGGAGAGAAGGGCGCAGCAGGAGCAGTTGCTGTTGCAGCAGCTGCAGCTGCAGCAGCAGCCGCCCCTGACGCAGGTCTGCACGGCCCCTGCCTTCTCTCAGGAACAGTCGAGCATGACTGAAAATGCAAAGGAGGACATCGTCACAGAGCAGATAGATTTCTCTGCTGCTCGAAAACAGTTTCAGCTGATGGAGAATTCCAGGCACACAGTGGCCAAGGGCCAGAGCACACCCAGGCTTTTCTCTATCAAGCCTTTTTACAGGCCTCTGGGGTCAATCAACTCAGACAAGCCAGTGACTATCTCGAGACCAATCTCCATTGGGGGACCCCCAGAAGACAGTGCTGCATCGATGGCCAAGGGGCAGAAAGTCTGTGCCCTTGAGAGCCAGTCTGTGGGAGGAGGCCAGGGCAGCATGGCTCCTCAGGAAAAGGAAGGGTCCTACAGTGAGCCCTCTAAACGTGGGCCCTTATCTAAACTGTGGGCAGAGGACAGAGAGTTTACAAGTGCCCGGGCAGTCCTCACTGTGGTCAAGGATGATGACCATGGGATTTTGGATCAGTTCTCAAAGTCAGTCAATGTCTCTTTGACCCCAGAGGAGCTTGACTCTGGTTTGGATGAATTGTCTGTGAGGTCCCAGGATACCACCGTCCTGGAGACCCTGTCCAATGATTTCAGCATGGACAACATCAGTGACAGTGGGACCTCCAACGAGACAACTAATGCTCTCCAAGAAAATTCACTGGCTGATTTTTCTCTGCCCCAGACTCCACAAACTGACAACCCCTCAGAAAACAGAGGAGAAGGTGTCTCCAAGTCATTTAGTGATCATGGCTTCTATTCCCCTTCTTCCATGCTAGGAGACTCTCCGTCAGTTGATGACCCCTTGGAATACCAGGCTGGTCTCCTGGTGCACAATGCTATTCAACAAGCCATTGCTGAGCAAGTGGATCAAGCTGTATCTCAAACCACCAAGGATAGGGCAAAACAGCAGGGACCTGAAGCCACTCTAGAGGAAGCTGAAAGAGGGCCTCTCAGCTCAGAGAAGACTCAGAGCATGTTTGAGCCACCTCAAGTGTCTTCTCCTGTTCAAGAGAAAAGGGATGTATCCCCAAAGATTCTGCCTGCTGAAGACAGAGCGCTCAGGGAAAAGGGGCCCTCCCAGCCACAGCCTGCCATACAGCGCAGTGGCCCAGTATACATGGAGGAGACCAGGCCCGAAGGGAGCTACTTTAGCAAATATTCAGAGGCAGCTGAGTTGAGAAGTACAGCCTCCCTCCTGGCCACTCAAGAATCAGACGTGACGGTAGGGCCCTTCAAGCTCAGATCAAGGAAGCAGCGGACTTTGTCCATGATTGAAGAAGAGATCCGAGCAGCCCAGGAAAGGGAAGAGGAGCTGAAGAGGCAGCGAAAAGTCTTGCAGAGTACTCAGAGCTCCAGGGCAAAGAATGCTTCATCGCTGCCTTCCAGAACAACATGCTACAAAACTGCCCCAGGTAAGTCAAGGACCTCTTGCCACAGATAGATGCTATGGAAATCCAGTATTGTTGGTTCTAGCACACAGGTTTCTATGTGGATCCGGTTCTCTCGGTGACTGGGAGACATTGGCATGAGTATTTCAGCATTTGGGGATAGACCACAAGAGTGCCAGAGTGTCCTCTTCCTAGAAGATGGGATAGCTCCATTCTCGTTGTGGTCCTCTGACTTTGGTTCATTATGGAGAATTGTTCCCTTTTGTTTGAAGGGGCTCTCTTCACTGAGGGAGGGGTTGTGTATGGCCACACAGTTCCAGTCAGAGTGAGTTCAGGTATGGGCTAGATTCCAATCTAGTCACCCTGACTTTCAGTATCTATAGTTAAATTAAATTGATTTAATTTTGAAATGTGTCTTACTAACCCCTTTGATGGGTTCATTTTCAGTGATGACAGTTATGAATCAGTGTTGCAGATTGATCCAGCGAAGATGTTTTTGTTCTTTTTGTGTGGTTGGGTTTGTTTTCTTTAAGTCACCACAAAGCCATTGGTTTGGAATCAGTCTTATCATATGACCGTATAAGGAAAGGTAGGTCTTTAATCTTGCTTGGTCCCTTTCTTGAATACTTCATGTAGGTTGTTGTGTTGCATATGATGATAATTGTTGTTGTTGCTATTATGGACAACAGGGTGGCTGGTGAAGGAGTTTTTATTTTCCATGTGGATTTAATGGCATTCAGGGATCCACATTTTTACCACAGAGAAGCGCTCTTCAAGATGTGGGCCAAACAATCCATGAACTGTGTGTTACGGGTCCATGCTGAGATAGCATATGGGCACTTATGGTGCCAACACTCAGTGTCAGGCCACTCCCCCTGGCTCCGCCCATGATACCTTTCTCACTCCACTGTGGCTCCTCCTACTCCCAATGCAGACTCTAATCTTGTTCTACTCTACCTAATGGCATTTGGACTAAATTACTCATGAATGAAAAAGAAGGGAGGAGGAAGAGCACAAGAGCTTCCTTGATAAGGTTTTTCATTCTTGCTAGTCACAAGGCAATGGCTAGCTGAGTGTTTAAGGCAAAGACAACTTTCATGGGAGGGTTTTTGTCATTTTCTATCAGTGATGATTGGCTTTTTCTAAAGATCCATTATTGACAAGTTATTGTAAGTTCTTTGTTGTGGGTTGGCCTGACACAGAGATGCCAGTTGGGTATCATGTAGGTATCCTAAGAAATGTGTACCACTTGATTTCAGTCCAATCTAGGGGATTTCACAAGCGGTTAACTCTAAAGGACCTGAATAAGAGCCCACTCACTGTTCTGCTGATGGAGGGAAGATCGGCAGGCATCTTTGCCTTTTCTGCTCGCATATAAGGTGATGCCCATGGCTCTACGGTTCTCGCCAGTTACACCCAACTCCACCCACCTCCCCTCCCTTTGCGTTACAGTCAGACCCTTGAACATCACAGGGGTTAAGGGTGCCAGCACAGTTGAAAATCCATATATAATGTTTGACTCCCCCAAAACTTAGCTACTAAGAGCCCACTTGTTGACTGGAAGGAAGCCTTACCAATCAGAAGATAGGCAGTGGATTAACACATATTTTGTGTGTTATACGGGTTATAGACTACACCCACATAAAACTACATTTTCAGTATGATACAAAAGTGTAAAGTTTTTGCTTCTGTGGGCATAGTTGCAGCCATGGCTCCCCAATTTCCTTTCCTTTTTTGACAGTGGTCTTAAGTTGGACTCATTTATCTGAAATGGTGAACAATCACAGCTACAAACCTCTATCTATGGTACATATCAAGCAATTCAACTTTTTCTTGTAATGTTATGACTTTTTTCTGCTTCTTGGAAGCAATTCCATCATCACTAATGCCACTTTGTTTGGGTCCCCTGGTGTTAATTTGAGCTTTATAGAATTGTACTAAATACAATGAAAAATACATGAAAGCCGGGAGCGATCGCTGTTTACTTCGATACACAATTTGTTGGGGACAACTGCGCACACAGGTATGATTAGTGTCATGTAACGTTTTTGTTGTTTGTTTTGTAATCCAAATATAAGTGGACCCGTGTAGTTCAAACCCATGTTGTTCAAGAGTCAACATCAACAACCTTTCACTGTAGAATCGTGTCTCAAGTACACCTGTTCTGTGGGATATTTTGTCTTATCCACTCCACCTCATTATGGAACCCTTACCATATTATCCCTCTACTTTACCTACCACATGAACAGTTGTCTAAAGTTAACTTTTACGATTTCCCCTGGTTCTCTGACCAAGGATGGATAGATAGAGATGTTGGTTGCCTGTCCGTCAGGCTTCCCACCAAGCTTGAGCTTGCCTCAGAACAAGTCAGAGCCCTGTTTTCCAAGTATCCCAGCATTAATTTCCTCAGCACTTCCTTCTACACTAATTGCCCATCTTGTCCTCCATATTCCATTGCCACAAGACTGGTTTCTATCCTTTTAGTAAGATGCTGCGAGTTCTGGTATGGTGCTGTAGGATAAGCACTGGGCTGCTATCCACAAGGTCAGCAGTTCAGGATCACCAGTCACTCCTCAGAAACCCTACACAGTGTCATTATGGAGCTACTGGCTCCAACTTTGATTTTGTGAATGCAGTGTTGCTAAGTCCCTACTCAACTACTCTATCACTCATGCCAGATGTGGTGACTTCACTGGTTTATTGTGTGACTCAGATGAATGGTTTGAGGTGATGACAGTTGATAATATAATTAAATTTTTATTTTATTGTTGACAGTTTACACAGCAAAACAAACACCAATTCGATTGGTTCTACATGTATAATTCAATGATACTGATTACATTCTTTGAGTTGTGCAACTGTTCTCACGCTCATTTTTTGTTGTTCTTCTCGCATTAACATAAATTCATTACCTGTAAAATTTTGATCTGGAGTGCCCTGGTGTCGCACTGTAGGATCAGCACGTAAGAAACCATAATGCTCAAGGTAGACATTCTTTACTAGGTAAGATAAATTACTCCTTGGTTGTAACATGGTTTCAGGAGCTCCTTTTGATTTAAGGTTTAAAGATTATCTCCATGCCATAGTTTCAGGGGTTCATCTAGACTCTCAACCGACTCCAGGAAGTCTAGAATCCATGAGAAATTGAAATTCTGCTTTATATTTTCTTCCTTTTGATCATGATTCTTCTATGGAATCTTTGATCAGAAATGTTCAGTAATGATAGCTGAACACAATCTAGTTCTTAAGGAGGAAGTTGCTCATGGAGGCAATTAGCTACAAATGCCACATCTTCCTATTCCTGATTCTCTTTCTTGCTCTGTTATTTCAGGTGAATAGAAACTAATTGTTGTGCCTCGGATGGCCACTTGCAAGCTTTTAAGACCCCAGACAGAAGGCAGTGAATCACTAAGAGGTAGAATAAAAGCACTAAGCGTGTTATTTAGCCAGTTCACCGGGTTTTCCCATGAAACCATGCCCCTCGGCCTCCAAACCAAGGAACCAAATTCCAGGAGGTGTTTGTACATAAATAAGCAGCCTCGGCAGCTGGTCTTTTAAAATTGTTGTAAGTGTTTCTGTCACACAGCCTTTGCCAAGTCAACACTTTACAGGTCTACAAATTATTGACGCAGTTAGAATGCTCAACTATGCAACCCAATTCCAAAACCTATGGCAAGTAAAATCCACTGAGAGCCATGATGGGATAAATAAAGAAGAAAAGTGCTAATTCTTCCCATTGAGAAATTACCTAGACATAACCCCATTCCTCACAGATGTTAAAAGGACATTTGTCTCTGCTTCTAATTTTCTTGCCTTTAAAAAATGGAGGATGGAGCGGGATTCTGCTGCAGGTTAATGAGCTGGACTGCAAAGTCAGTTTGAACCGCAACGTCGGCAGTTCAGGGTCACCAGCCGCTCCTCAGAAGCTGTATGCAGGGTCGGAACTGACTCAACAGCAGTTAACAACACCATCAACAACAATAGTCATTTTAAAGACCAATTATTAGAAAACATTATCTAGAAATTTTATTTCTTGGTTCTTATTGAATTTTAAAGGAAGATAATTTAAATAATGAACAGAACTCTGTGTCAGGGTTTGTGTGACATTTGTTCATGCAGAAGTGAATTAGACACAGTTCCTCCCTGCCCTCAGAGAACTTAAGTTCAGTAAGAGAAACAGCAGTAAATATGTGTGGCAATTCCATGACACAAAAGCAAGGAGACCTGTAGGGGCATATAACAAGGAAAGCCACCTCATTTGAATGATAAACAAAGTCTTCCTTTCTTGGGAAACAGCAGTATAAACTGAAAACTGAAGAAAGAGTAGGAGTTGGGCTTAACGTGGTGGAAGGAGTGGTAGAAGTAACTGGCACCTACAGAATCCTAAAAGGAAGTGAGAAGGTGGCACACGCTGAGGCATCTAAATGAGGCCAATGTGGACTAAAGGAAGAGATTTTTTTTAATTATGTAAATTTGGGTGGAGCCAAAGGAAAACTATATAAATTATGTTATGGATACTAGTTGCTGTTGTTAATTGCTGTTGAGTTGGTTCTGAGTCATAGTGAACCTGATGAAGATCAAAGAGCATAACCTTTGGTATGGGTTGCATCTCAGTGTCAGGAAAACAAAAATCCTTACCAGTGGACCAGTAAACAACATTCTTATCAATGGAGAAAAGATTGAAGTTGTCAAGGACTTCATTCTTCTTGGATCAACTATCAACACTCGTGGAAGCAGTAGTCAAGAGATCAGACGATGTATTGCATTGGGCAAATCTGCTGCACAGGAACTTTTTAAAGTGTTGAAGAGCAGAGATGTCAGCTTGAGGAATAAGGTGTGCCTGACCCAGGCCATGGTGTTTTCAATAACCTCATATGGATGCGAAAGCTGGACAGTGAATAAGGAAGATTGTAGAGGAATTGATGCCTTTGAATTATGGTGTTGGAGGAGAATACTGAAAGTGCCATGGACTGCCAAAAGAACCAATAGATCTGTTTTGGAAGAAGTGCAGTCAGAGTGCTCCT